TTAACTGACTGAGCCACCCAGGCACCCCAGCAGCTAAAATTCTATAAGAAAAGATCATCCTTACCTGGAGACCCACCCTTGAACTTCATAGTGACTAAGGATCTCATTTCACTGGTCGGGTGATGCGACCAGTCTGTGCTATTCGGCTGGTTTTACAACACTTTCACTATGCTTACCACTCTCAATCCACAGGGCTAGTTGAACTGGCATCATAAACATGTAATTGGCAAAATCTGTACAGGCCCTCTAACCACGTTGGCCAAAGGCACTGCCAATAGTCATTTTATTTTATTTTAATTTTTTAAAATTTATTTATTTATTTTTGAAAGAGAGAGTGTGTGTTCAAGAGTAGGGTAGGGGCAGAGGAAGAGAGAGAGAGAATCTTAAGCAGGCTCTAAGCTCAGCACAGAGCCCGACTTGGGGCTGGATCCCACAACCCTGGGATCATGACCTGAGCTGAAATCAAGAATTGGATGTTTAGGGGTGCCTGAGTGGCTCAGTTGGTTGGGTACCCTGACTTTGGCTCAGGTCATGATCTCACAGTTGGTGGGTTCGGGCCCCACATCAGGCTCTATACTGACAGCTCAGAGCCTGAAGCCTGTTTCAGATTTCTGTGTCTCCCTCTCTCTGCCCCTCCTCCATTTGCACTCTTTCTGTCTCAAAAATAAATATTAAAAAATAAATTAAAGGGGCACCTGGGTGGCTCAGTCGGTTAGGCATCCGACTTGGGCTTAGGTCATGATCTCACGGTTTGTGAGTTTGAGCCCCGCATTGGGCTCTGTGCTGACAGCTCAGAGCCTGGAACCTGCTTCAGACTCTGTGTCTTCCCCTCTATCTGCCCCTTGCATGCTCATGCTCTCTCTTTGTCTCTCAATGATAAATAAACATTAAAAAAATTTTTTTTAATAAATTAAAAAAAAAAAAGACAATTTAAAAAAAAGGAGTTGGATGTTTAACTGACGGAAACATCCAGGCATCTAAGAAAACCTGATTCTCGATAAGTGATGCTACTGAACAAAGATCTTGATCAAAAGGTGGAAGTGTGAAAATAAAGGAAACCTCATTTAGTGATAAGATTCTTTTTTTGAAAGTAAGGTCTACACCCAATGTGGGGGGTTTGAACCCATGACCCCTAGATCAAGAGACATATGCTCTACTGACTGAGCTACCCAGATGCCCTAGGAAACCTCATTTAAAATGGGGTCAGGAAGCCCTGGAGAGGGGGCACCACTTGCTGCAGCCTGCACAACCAGGAGGAACAAGGAAGATAAGAATGATCTCAACAAGGGAGGGCATATTTCACATAGGAAATTTGTCTCCTGCTTTTAAGAAAAGGAAGGAAGATCCCTCCCTGCCCCAGCAATAATGCACTAACCACTGCCTGTAGCCAAGAGCGAAACCACGGTGCAGAAACGACCACAACTGCCAACTCTTGTTGTCCTATAAACTTTGGTTTACAACAACTCTCCTCAATTTCCTCCTAAAACCTAATGAAAGCTGACCTTCCCTTTGTCTCTTTGAACTTGCCTATAGTTCACCATAGCTGGCCTGTCCCAAACTGTAATTCCTTTGCTATGGCTGACTAAATTCTTTTTTTTTTTTAACTTAAATAAAATTGCTCTTTGCTTTGTTTAAAGGGAACACATTTATGGTCTTAGTTGAAGGGCAAATTTATATCTATATTTTCTCCCATCAGAAATAGTTAGATGAGGGGCACCTGGGTGGCTCAATTGGTTAAGTAGCCGACTTTGACTCAGTTTGTGGGTTTGGGCATCAGGCTCTGTGTTGACAGCTCAGAGCCTGGAGCCTGCTTCGGGATTCTGTATCTCCCTCTCTCTCTGCTCTCCCCCTCCACTCCTGCTCTGTCTCTCTCTCTCAAAAGTAAATAAACATTAAAAAAAAAAAGAAAAAAAGAAAGAAATAGCCAGATGGAAGAGATGAATAGGGCAAGGTATGTGGAAAGTTTCCATGCTCTCCAAGCACAGTACTCACCATGTTCACCAACCTGGAGTTGCCCCCAATCCCATCCTTTTGGGCTGTTATGGAGGCTTCATTACATAGGCATGGCTGATTAAATCATTGGGTGTTGACCCTCTTCCCTACGGGGTGGGCAGGGGAGAGAGAGGGGCCTGAAAGTTCCAACCTTTTAATCACAAGACCAGTTCACAGGGGTGGGCTGGGGCAAGCAGCCCCCAACCAAAGGTCACCTAGGAGCTTTCCAAAAGTCATGGCATTAACATGACAAAAGACATCACTCTCACACTTTCGGTGATGCCAAGGGTTTTAGCTCTGTGCCAAGAACAGGACAAAGACCAAATATTTACTTATTATAAACCACAATAGCACAGCCTGTTACGCAAGTCCTGTCTACCACTTCTCCAGCTTCTTCCTGCTTGCTCTCTATGCCTCAGTGCTAGCTCTGTACAAGTTCTGACGTTGACCTAGAATATTTTTCCTGTCTGTGTGTGTCCCCATACCCTTGGCTTAGTATCCCGAAGGCTCTGCTTACTTAATTTTCTTTCTTTCTTTCTTCTTCTTCTTCTTCTTTTTTTTTTTTTTTTTTTTTTTTGAGAGAGAGGGAGAGAGAGAATCTTAAGCAGGCTCCATGCCCAGTGTGGAGCCCAATGTGGGGTTTGATCTCACAAACTGTGAGATCATAACCTGCGCCGGGATCAAGAGTTGGACACTGAACCGACTGAGCCACCCGGACGCCCCAATCCTCTGCTTATTTAAATATCATACTGGTTTTTCTTTTATTCTTTACTTATATGACTAACCAACATTAGTGAGTACCAACAATATGCCAAACATGGGGGATGAAGTGACTGAATGAGACCTACCAGGACTATTTTCATGGAACTTACTTTCCAAGCAGGAAGTGGGTAATAGACAACTAGATGACCATGATCAATTTAGACCATGGTGAGTGTCATATGGAAAAGAAAATGGGGAATTGGTGGTGTTTGGGTGGCTCAGTCAGTTAAGCAACTGCCTCTTGATCTTGGCTCCTGATCTCACAGTTTGTGAGTCTGAGCCCCACATCGGCCACACTGACGGCACGGATCCTGCTTGGGATCCTGTCTCTCTTCTCTCTGCCCCTTCCCTGCTTATTCTCTCTCACTCTCTCAAAATAAATAAATAAACTTAAAAAAAAAAAAAGGAAAAGAAAATGGGGTCTTGTGTTAGGGTGAGCCCTTGAAGAGGTGTCATTTAGGCTGGGATCTGAATGATGAGAGGTCAATAGCAAGGGTCCTATGTGAGAATGAGCCTGGTGAGTCTGAAAAATTGAGAAAGAGCAGTGTGGCTATGATGAGAAATGGAAGCAGAAAAATGTTCACCTTTAGCCCAGAAGGCTAACCAGCAAGGATAGTTCATCAAGGATCCAATATGTGCTGGCTGCTACCTTCTTAAAGCATCTCATGACTGCCTGTAAATCTCACCGACAGTATCAAACTGAGTAAGAAACGCCAGAGAAATCTTGTGAAAGCAGTTTTATGAGTAGAAATTCAAAGAAACACTTATGACAAAACACTCCCTCCATGTCTCCTCCCCCTTGACCAACTACCAGCTTCATACAGCAAAAAGCGCAGCCCTTTCTGCCCCGGGGTCCTGACCCCATGTTACTTACATAAGCTTACAATTGCACCATACAACATCTCAAGATTCTTTCTTGACTATTGTACTTGATCACCCCACATCACCTAGAATGGAATGGCGTGGGGGGGCTGGTAGGTGAGGGGGCAGTCAAGCAACTGGAACCTTACAGACCAAGATAGAGTTTAGATGTATTCCAAGGCAGTGGAAAGTAAACAATAAACTTGGAGTAGGAAAGTGACATGATCTGATTTAGGCTTCCAGAAAGTCCCTCCTTCCACAAAGAAATCTTCCTGGATCCCCCAGGTTGGGTTGCCTCCAGGAGTCATTGCACTAGATGTCTGAAAACAACCTATTCTTCGTTATCACCGGCACTCACTAGTGTGGTATATTTGCTTGTGTGATATCTATGTTCCCTGCTAGACTGTAAGCACACTGGATAGTGACTGCATCTTGTTCCCTCTCAGAACCCTGGCACATAGTAGGTGCTGAATAGCCTGTGTTAAATGGGGAAATAGTTTTTACCACCTGTACTATAAACTACTAAGGGTTACTCTTCTCCAGTAGGGACCCTTTGAGGGTGAGGACATCTGATTCATTCTCTGCTCCACACCAGCACAGATTTAGGAACCTAAGCCAAAGTTCTAACTTCAAGAAACTCAGGCTAGTAGGTAAAGAGACCAGTAATCAGAGTCACAGCACAGAGCAGAGTGAGATAAAGCACAGTGGCTGCCTCACTTATCCCTCCAGGGCCTCAGCTCCCAATCTGTTCACATTACTACATGGGATCGCTGTAAGGCTCAAATGAGCTGACCCCCATAAAGCACTAAGGACACGACTTGGCACATGGTGAGCACTCGCTGAATGACAGCCTTTATTATGAGCAAAAAAGCTCTGTGACCGGTAATCCTGAGGGGAATTCAGGGGAAGGGTTTGGGAGCAGCTGGGCATGCAAGGCTTGACACCCAATGTGCTCCGCTAATTCTAGTTTGTAATGAGAATCACAATTTGGTATCTGGATCAGCCGACACTCCTTTGCATACATCAAGTAGTTCCACGCGTGACAAAACTGAGGCTCAGCAAAACTGACGGGCTCCCGGGCCGACCGCGGAGCCTGCGCGGGGCCAGCGGGCTGGGCTGGGCTGGGCCAAGGCAGGGACCCCCATTCAGGCCGGGAAGCTCCCAGCCTCCGGCCCAGGCCGCGGGCCAAGCCGTGACTCTCACACCCTCCCTGCCCCGGGGAGCTGGCCCGTCGCACGCACCTGCCATGCGTCCGCAGATATCCCGGGAAGGAGCCCGAAGCCCCGCCCACGCCCGCCGGAAGCGCGCCGACGTCTCTTCCGCCGCGCTCAGCTAGCTGGCCTGCTGCCACTTGTGGCTCCGCCGCTCAGCTTCCGGCTGTCGCTCGGCAGTGTCGGCCCGGTTGCCCAGGGAACGGGCTCCCGGCAGCCCCCGCGGCCCGGAGTCCGTCCCCGCCTCCTCCGGCCGAGCCGGACCGACGAGTCCGGAGGGGCCGTCGCGGGAGGTGAGTCCGGCGACGCCGCCGTGGGCCCCACTGCCCCCGCCTCCCGGCCCGCGCCCCTTCCTCGGCCTCCCCGCCGCCGTTCACACCTCCCCCAGGCCTCCCTTCGCTCGCCTCGGCGCCTCAGGGTCGCATTGCCCATCTCGCCCCCGTTCCCGGCCCCCGCGTCGCCCCGGCGGGTGGCCGAGCTCGAATGCCACAACACGAGAGGCGCCAGGCTGGTCTGGCAGAAGCCAGCGGTCCCCGGAGGGGAGCGGTGGTTGCCCACACGTCCTCGGCCCCGCTGGCCGGCCGGCCCCATCCCCGGGCCCTCGCTCCTCCCACTCCGCGCCTTCCCTCCCTCTGCCGCACCCTCGTCCCTCGTCCCTCGTCCCTCTGCCTGCCGGCCCGCGGCTCCCAGCGCCGCTCTCTCGTGATTGACGTTGCGTTCTGTCCCCCGACCCTGTCAGTCCGGTGCCTTCCTCCGCGCGCCAGCACTGCCGGCACAGACCTTGGCACACACCTACTAGGTGCTCAGTAGGTGTTCCTTAAATGGGTAAATGAAGGACTCCTCCCTCAGTCCTGTTTGAAGGTCTGGTAGGCAGAATAGGTCCTGCGACGTAAAGAATGGGGTACCGTGGAGTGAGACCCGGGTTCGGGTCACAGCACTGCCCCTTCCTAGCTGTGTGCTCGGGGCAAGTGCTCATCACTTGCTGCAGTTTCATCATCTGTAAAACGGAGATGATGATAGTTTCTACCTCTGTCTTGGTGGGAGGATCCAGCGGGTCCGTGCGGGTAAAGCGCTAAGCACCGAGCCTGGCTGGCACCTGATACATTTCAGTAAAGGGTAGCCCCTGCTGAGTTACCCACATGCTGTCCTCCCGTTTCTCTTCCCTGCCCTTTCTTCTTCCTCACTTTCCCGCTGAGATTCAGGAATTTTATCCCGTTCCTTCTATTCCGTCTGTTGGCAGAATGTGGGTTCCCAGCCTGGGTGCACATTTGCCTTACCTGCTGGGGGGATGAGTTGCACTTGGGGTTGGCTCCCTTCCTGTAAACCCACTGGGAGCAGAATCTGGGAGGAAAGCCCCTGTATTCTGTGTCGTCACCAGTGTCTCCCGGTCTCCTAAGCTGCAAGGCTGTTTTTACTTTCTTACACCCAGCAGAATGCACCTCGATAAGCCTCTGACCTTGTGGGTTTTTTTTTTTTTTTTTTTTTTTTTTGGATAACCCAACTTACATCCCCTGTTGGTTCATTCAGCAGGTATTATTTGAGTCCCTTGGATGCCTGCCACATACCAGGCTCTAGGGATGCTGTGGTTCTAGTCCCTCCCTCAGGGAGCCTTCTAGTTGGAGAACCAGCAGGTGCGGGTATAGGGACTGCTTTACCCGAGACCGTGGTGGGGAAGTTGGGATAAGGATAGTCCTCTTGGAGGAGTGACTAGCCAGTAGCTTTTGTTGGGTTTAAGTTATTTTGTAGCCACATCGTCATTTTCGATAGAAGATTGTCTTCTTCTGGATCTGCTTTCCATTTTAGAAAGGTAACACTTCAGGTTTGAGGAAGGTTATTTTATATTAGCTTCCGTGTAGTTTGGACGGAACGGCTACTGGAACTTCGTGGGGGAAAAAGGAAGGTAGCAGGAGTCAGGAGGAGCAGTCGATTGAACTTGGAAAAGTGAAGGGCCGATCAGGTAACAGTTACACACATAAGGAAAACGAGCTTTGGTGTCAATCCTGGAGAGATTTCTAGATACCCTGAAGCACAGGGAGCTTGGTAGAATCAGGAGGGAAGAGTTCCCAGCTCTGCTGAGGTAGACGTGAGCTGTTGTTCGAAGTGTGTAGTCAGGTTCACTAAGACCTGGACTTCAGAGACCAACGAGTTTTTGCATGATGGTGGGTGTAGCTGAGGTAGAATGGTCTTATGTTTTGGAATATCATGCTTAGGGGATCCTGGCTTCGGGCTCTGAGAGCTTAGTTTACAAATAGGTGTCGAGTGCTGATTGTGCCATGCGCCAGTGGTCTTTCGAAGCACCACAGGGTGTGTAGACTAGAAGGATGTGGCTGAAGAAAGAATCCAGGAAAGAAGCTAGACAACTAAAGATGAGGTGCCGTGTGATGACGAGGTGCTCAGTGTTCTCCGAAAGCAGAGAAAGACCAACTGTTAGAGAGAGGCTGTGAAGGTTTCCCAGGGGAGAACGAGTTCTTACAGGGGGGGTGGGGGGGGTGGGGCGGGAAGGGAGGAAGAGGCCTTTGCAAAGACGAACAGGTCCTGGTGTGTTCAGGGCCTGTGCTGGGAAGCTCATTGCAGCTGCGGGGTAGAGTGTGTGGAAGGAAGGGAAGCCTGGCACCAGGCTAGATACACATCTTTTTTTTTTTTTTTTTTTTTAATTTTTTTTTTTTATTTTTGAGACAGAGAGAGACAGAGCATGAACGG